GAGTCATCCCCACCATAAAACAATTGACATGAATCTTAAAGAAAGGCAGATTTCCAATCAAATACATAGCTTCTCTAACATAACTTAAGAGACCATTTCCATGAGTAAGACATACTGGTTTGTTGGGCCATTTCCTGTTCAAGGTTTGAGTCTTAGGCTGAACATTTTAGAAGAAAGGCAGATTCCAAGGCAAATACATAGTTCATTAACATAGCTTAAGAAAAACATTTCCATAAGAAAAATGCATTGGTTAGCTCAAGGTTTGAGAAAAGTTAAGTTTAGGGGGAAGCAGGTGTGATCATAACAACACCCAATTTAAAAGAAACCTCCTTTTAATTTTGTATAGAGAAGGAAAAAATCAAAAGTCTGCCACTTGCAGTTTACTTCCTCCACTTGGGGGGCATCTAGCCTTCCTACCTGTTACCCTCTCAACTTCATGGCTAATAAATGTGGAAAAAGTAGAGACAGTGACATATTTTATTTTCTTGGACTCCAAAATCATTATGGATATTGAGCACAGCCATGAAATTAAGACGTTTGTTCCTTGGAAGAAAAACTATGACAAACATGGACACTGTATTAGGAAGAAGAGGCATCACTTTGCCAACAAAGGTCCATATAGCCAAAGCTATGGTTTTTCCATTAGTTATGTACAGATATGAGAGTTGTACCATAATAAAGAAGACTGAGCATGAAAGAATTGATGCTTTTGAATTGTGGTGCTGGAGAAAATTCTTGAGAGTCCCTTGGACTGCAAGGGGATCCAACCAGTCCATCCTAAAGGAAATCAGTCCTGAATATTACTTGGAAGGACTGGTGCCGAAGCTGAAGCGCCAATACTCTACCATGTAATGTGAAGCCAGTCTTTCCTGACTCCTTGGGAAAGACCCTGATGCTGGGAAAGATTGAGGGCAAGAGGTGAAGGGGGTGAGAGAAGATGAGATGATTGAATGGCATCGCTGACTCCATAGACATGAGCTGGAGCAAACTCCAGGAGACAGTTAAGGACAGGGAAGTCTGGAATGCTGCAGTTCATGGGGTTGCAAATAGTTGGACATGACTTAGGGACTGAACAACAAGTTCCTTACTTCAAATGCTCCAGTAGAGGAACAACTCATCACATACTAGAAAGAAGTACAGTAATGCTACCACAGAAAGAAAATAATTCCCCAGAAAAAAAAACTTCAAAGCACAGGATTTTGCATTCTGGTGTTAGTTGCTCAGTCATGTCTGACTCTTTGTGACCCAATGGACTGTAACCCACCAGGCTCCACTGTCCATGGAATTCTCTAGTCAAGAATACTGGAGTGGGTTGCTATTTCCTGCTCCAGGGATCTTCCCAACTCAGGAATCAAACTAAAGTCTCCCACATTGCAGGCAGAGTCTTTACCATCTGAATTCAAAGTATCTGCCATGAAAAACTTTACCAATTGAGTTCAAAGTATCTGCCATGAAGAAACTTAATGAGCCATAAGTGAAAATGAAGTTGCTCAGTCGTGTCCGACTCTTTGCAAACCCATGGACTATAGCCTACCTGGTTCCTCCATCCATTGGATTTTCCAGGCAAGAATACTGAAGTGGGTTGCCATTGCCTTCTCCAGGAGATCTTCCCAACNATATATATACTTACATGAAGCTAAACATCATCTAATTACCTCAGTGCACAAAGATCTTCCCCAAGACACATTATATGAAAATTGTTGAAGTCAGGAACAAAAAATAATTTATAAACAGACAGGGAAAAAGAAAGGTAACAGACATGAAACCTTCATTAACGTACCAGCACATTTCTCAGTAGAAAGCCTATGAGACCAGGAGGGAGCGAATATCATTCTGAAAATACTGAAAGACAAAAACTGTCACCTAAGAATACTCTACCCAGCAAAGTTACCATTCAAGTATGAAGGATAAATAAAGACTTTTAGACAAACAAATGCTCAAGGAGTTCATCAACACTAGGCATACCTTACATAGATGCTGAAAGGAACTCTTCTACCAGAAACAAAAAATGCAAAATCACACAACATTTTGAGTAAGTTGATAAATAGGTGGAATTTGAAGATTCTAATACAGTATCAGAATAGGTTTTAAGCACTTTTTATAGCATAAAGTGTAAAGGACAGATAAAGCAGAAACAATAATTATAGCTACTTTAGGTAACAAACTATCAACATAAAAAGGGATAACTGAGGTAACCAAAACACAGAAGGGAAAGACGAAAGTATGGAACCACATGTGCAAATGAAAATAAGATGCAATCAGTGGGAAAAGTACAATTTAATCTACAAGACATTTTAAATTAACCCATGGTAACCATAAATCTAGAGCAGAGACATGAAACATCAAGAAAGAGGAAACTGAAAGATGCATCATAGAAATCCACCGACTTGAAATGGCAGACAGAAACATAAGGAAAATTTTAGAATAAAAGGAGAAATAGAGTAACCAGAATACAAAAGAGAAAAATAGCAGGACTAAGTCCTTATCTATCAATAATCACTCTAAATGTAAACAGATTCAACACACCAATCAAAAGTCACAGAGTGCCTGGATGAATTTAAAAAACAGACTCAAATACATTCTACCTCAAAGAGAGTCACCTCAGCTCTAAAGACAAAATTTGCTAACTTGAAATGTATTCTTGTGTTTGTGGACATGACTCCAATTCTCCACCTTTATCTGCATTCACATATTTTACAAAGTGGTAATAAAATACCTTCCATCGGGTCATGGAGTTTATGTCTCCACCTTTGTATCCACTCTGGACTGATGCTTTTTTTACTTTTTTCCTGCTTTTGTTCATGAAATACAGAGAAAATGATGATGTGACTTAAGTAGACTTCATGCATTTCTGCTAATCTCTTTGGGAAAGTCACCTCAGAAACATATAAACAAATCCAGGTGGGCCATCCAGAGGACACATGGAGCAGAGCTTCATTGTCCCAGCCAAGGCCATGATAGATCAGCCTGCTGCTAGGTGAGCTGCAGTGTATTAGAAAACTCAGCGAAGATCAATGGAGCCTGCCCAGCTGACTTATATGTGAGTAAAGACACATGAGAATCCTAGCAGAAATCTGAAAAATTCATTACCATTACCTTTTAATAAAACAAAATGTCAAACTATTTGCTTTCAGGATGTCTTCCTATACAGCAATCACTTACTAATACAACAACCAAACTGAGCAGAAGTGAAGGCATTTATAAACATTCACTGATTCTTACTTTTGATATCAACACAACTTTAATACAATTCTGTTATTCAAGTTTACTCCAGAAATGCATATTAAGATTTTACTTCACTGAGATTCCTTTCCAGGAAACCAGGGAAGTGTGGAGGGAAATGAATATTTATGGAGAAAAATATGTGATCCTGAAACACTAGACTAGACAGGAATTGAACTTCTCTTTTGTGAACTTTTCTTGTAAGTCATTCTTGATCATAATGAATGATGAGATTTATGATCATAATGGGTGATATTTAAAATAAATATGCATTATGTCTTAAATATTATGTGTATTTAGAATAGAGGGATATATTTCATTTAGAGCAATAGAAGAATTCATTTGTAGGCATAACTCGAGGTTTTCAATGAGAAACAAGAATATAATCCAATATAGAACATATAAAACAAGCCATCAACACTTGAACTCCAAGGTAAATCCCCCTTTACGTGAATATTGATCTCCCATAACTCAAGGAATAGATGTGCAGCACGAAAATAAATTACTTTGCAAGTAATATGAGCTACATTTTAATATTTTTTCTCATATTTCACATATTCATTACTCACAATGATTTGTTCAAATTTGCATTACTTTAGAAACTTCATATGGAGATTTGTATGCGATACTCTGTTTTTGCCATTGGCCAGGTGACACTAGTGGTAAAGAACCCACCTGCCACTGCAGAAGACACAAGAGATGTGGGTTCAATCACTGAATTGGGAAGATCTCCTGGAGTAGGAAATGGTAACTTGCTCCAGTATTCTTGTCTGGAAAATTTCATGGGCAGAGGAGCCTAGTGGGCTACAGTACATGCAGTAACAAAAGAGACAGACACGACTTAACAAGTGAACAACAAAAATGGTGAGAATTGTGGAAATAGAGTCAGAGAATGTAACACTGACCAGAAGATTAAAATTCAGTGACAAGTTATAAAACACAATATCTGTTGAATTCCAGAATATCAAGAAGAGCAGATAAGGTGGTAATATACAAAGGAATGATACACACCAGTGTGAAATCAGTGGTCTGAGATTCCCCTTGTTATAAACATACAAGTAACCATGAATGCCTTTGCTGTTGCCCAGTTTTCAGTTGTGTCTGACTCTTTGCAACTCCATGGACTGCAGCATAACAGGCATCCCTGTCCTTCACCATCTACAAATTCAAGTCCATTGAGTCAGTGATGCCATCCAACCATCTCATCCTCTGTTGTCCCCTTCTCCTCCCACCTTCAATCTTTCTCAGCATCAGGATCTTTTCCAGTGAGTCAGTTCTTTGCATCAGCTGGCCAAAATTTCAGCTTCAGCATCAGTCCTTCCAATGATTTCCTTGAGGATGGACTAGTTGGATCACCTTGCAGTCCAAGGGATTCTCAAGAGTCTTCTCCAACACCACAGTTCAAAAGCGTCAATTCTTCAGTGCTCAAACTTCTTTAAGGCCCTGCTCTTACATCCATACAGGACTACTGGAAAAACCATACCTTTGATTATATGGATTTTGTTGGCCAAGTTATGTCTCTGCTTTTTAATATGCTATCTAGGTTTGTCATAGTTTTTCTTCCAAGGAGCAAGGGTCTTTTAATTTCATGGCTGTAGTCACCATCTGCAGTGATTTTGGAGCCCAGGAAAATAAAAGTCTCTCACTGTTTCCATTATTTCCNGTGAAGACAAAGAAGTGAAAATTCCATCAATAGCATGGAAAGAGTAGGTTCTACTTCTAAGATCTGATCAAAAGTTTCAATTTCTGCCTATGAGGCTTTAAAGCTTTCAATCATGCTACCTCCTTCCGCTCAGAACAATTGGCTTCTTTTTTATAGCTGCAGTCCTAAACAATGCTTTCAGAGCCCTCTTTATGTCTTTGTTCCTCAGACTATAGATGAAGGGGTTCAGCATGGGTGTGACCACAGTGTACATCACTGAAGCTGTTGCACTTGAGTGTGAGCTATAGGCATTAGCAGGATAAATATACACTCCTAAGCATGTACAATAAAATAAAGAGACCACTGAGAGGTGAGATGCACAGGTGGAAAATGCTTTATACTTCCCCTGAGATGATGAAATTCCACATATGCAGGAAACTATCCTAGAGTAAGAGTAAAGGATACCAGCTAAGGGTGAACCTCCCAGCAAGACAGCTGAGATATATAGCACGGTGTCATTAAGAAGGGTGTCAGAACAGGCAACTTGAACCAACTGTTTGAGTTCACAGAAATAGTGAGGGATTATTACCACTCCACAGAAGGACAACCTTGACACCATTAAGGTTTGTAAGAAGGAATCCAAGATACCGATGATCCAGGACACCAGAACCAGCAGTGCACAGAGCCAGGCGTTCATGATGACCTTGTAGTGCAGGGGGTGACAGATGGCCACAAACCGGTCATAGGCCATCACAGTCAGGAGGAAGTCATCCAAAACTACAAACAGTGTGAAAAAATACATCTGGATGATGCAGCCTTCATAAGTTATAGCTTGGCTCTGAGTTTGGATGTTCCACAGCATCTTTGGGATGGTGGTGGAGGTGAAGCAGATGTCTACTAATGACAGGTTGGAGAGGAAGAAGTACATGGGGGTGTGGAGGTGGGGGCCTGAGCTGACCGCCAGGATTATGAACAGGTTGCCAAACACAGTAATCAGGTACATGGAGAGGAAAAGCCCGTATATAAGGGGCTGCAGTTCTGATTCCTCTGAAAGTCCCAGAAGGAGAAATTCTGAAACATTTGTCAGGTTTATTGGTCTCATGTGGTGGAATTGACTACTGGAAAGGAGAAAATGACATGTCTATTTTCACAAAAACCGACATTGCTCACATTGTTGAAAAACTATTGTTTATATTTTACTTAAGTACCTTTAATTGTTTTTTCCTAAGTTCAGTATGTTTTTAATGGGTTTTCCCCTTTATGGAATTCCCCGTGTCATCTCAAATTCACAAGGTTGTCTCACTTGTAGATTTTTTTGCAGGCTATCATGTATTCCAAATATTTAATGAGAAATTTTTCAATTCATTTGGGTAATATAAGTTGAATAATGACATTGTTTCAGGTGCTGCCCAGGCGATGAGTATGGGGTTCTACAAAAGCTGTAAGAATCTATACACAAAGAAAATATAAGCTATATATATATATACTCATATATATATATGAAATTTGGCTACATATGTGTTAATATATATCACTTTTCATATGATGACTCATGCTATGAAAAAATTTAAAAAGAGTTATAAGTAAAGAATACAGAGGGGATACTATTTCTTATGACTGTTCAAGTAAGACATGCAAATAAGATGACATTTGAATAGAGACCTCAAGAAAGAGAGAGCAGGAACACTGAACTTACCAAGAGGAGATATGTGTGCCTGGCAAGGTGAACACTGGTGTAACTGCCGTGGTATAAAAGCCCAGGGGAAGGTGCTTGTTTAACATGTTCAAGTTTTTAAAAAAGAAAGCTAATTTGGGGAGGTTAGTGCACATGATGAAGTGTGAGGAGGGGTGGTGTCAGGATGCTGTAGACCAAGGTGACTTCCCTGTTGCTGCTGAAACTTCAAGTCACAAGGAAACCCTCATCCACACTATGTTCCTCTAGCACATTTTGAAATTGCTACAAAGGTGTCTAGCAAATTTAAATGAATCTCTTCTGCTGATTGAGTTCTGGCTTCTGTGTATGAGTCACACTCAAATATATGAGCTTATTATCCCTTCAGTGAGCACTGCTTACATGATACAGGGCAAGAACACACATACACACAGTAGACTCTGGCTACTGGAAGGCTGTTGCTAAGCCATGAAAGACACCAGGATTCTTGGCCTCCGGAGGAGAGGAATTCAATCTGAGGCCAGTGACAAGGCTTGATCTCTCAGAGCTTTTGTGTAATTTTTTTGTGTAAGTTTTATTAAAGTATAAAAGAGACAGAGAAAGCTTTTGACATAGACATCAGAAGGGGGCAGAAAGAGTGCCCCCTGCTAGTCTTTAGCTGGATGTTTTATGTCTGTTAGAAAGCTATTAATCAGATAAGAAAGACACCTCAAGGTTGACAGAGTTTCACCAGGGCCCTCTCCCACAATATGCATTTTTGAGCTAGGATGGCAAGAAGTGTATCATCTCCCAGCCATAAAATAAATGACATGAATACTGGTTTGTTGAGCTATTATCAGCCCAAGATTTGAGAAAAGAAAAAAATGTTAGTTTGAGGTGGAACCATTTTGAAGAAAGGCAAATTCCAACACAAATACATAGTTTCGCTAACATAGCTTAAGAAAAACATTTCCACACGGATTCAAGTCAATGTATGGCAAAACCAATACAATGTTGTAAAGTAAAATAAATAAATAAATAAATTTTAAAAAATAAAATAAATAAAACTATAGTCCAGGGGAAAAAAAAGAAAGAAAGAAAGAAAAACATTTCCATAAAAAAATGCATTGGTTAGCTAAAGGTTTGAGAAAAGTTAAATTCAGGTGGAACCAGGTATCATCATGGCAACACAGAATTTTAAGAGGAAAAAGCCCCTGAAACTTGTAGTTTGTTTCCTCCTGCTGCATAAGGGAGAGAGAAAAAATGTCTGAAACTTGCAGCCTATTTCGTCCGTTTGGAGACCCCTGACCTTCCTGGCTGTTACCCTCTCACTACCTAAGCTGTGCTACTCCTAGGTCCTTTTCACTCCTCCCCCTTAACTACCCTGATTGAAAGTTTGATACAACTCAAGTTGACCAGATCTGATTATGTGAAATGTTATCCAAAAATTCCAGTTTGTAAATTTCCTGGGAATCAATAAACTTGGGACTCAACTTTGGTATGGCCTTGTATTAAAGACACATTAAATTTTTTTGTGTGCTCAGTCCTGTCTGACTCATAGCCCGCCAGGCTCCTCTGTCCATGGGATTTCCCATGCAAGAATACTGGAGTGGATTGCCATTCCCTTCTCCAGGGGATCTTCCCAACCCAGGAATCAAACCCAAGTCTCTTATATCTCCTACACTGGCATTTTTATTCTTTACCACTATGTCACAGAAAAGGATACATATACGTCTGTATATATCTATATCCTTTCTTGGAAACTGGGTTTTAAGATATCTGTATACACCTAGATACAGAGAGGGATGTGAGGGGGAGAGAAAAGTCAAATGGACACAAGGGGAAATAAAGACATAATAAGCTAAAATGGCTCCTGAGAGACTGTGGTAGAGAAAAGCATCTTTGATTCTGGTGATAATTTGTGTACTGTTCTATTGCCTTGATATCTGGGAAAATAATTTAAAAAATCAAATATAACTTTATCCAAATGATAAAGTAGTGGTATCTTTATGATATGAAACATTTGCAGATTGCATTGCCCAAAAGAAAAATGAATAAAAGGACTGAGACAGCACTTCACAAAAGGATGTACATAAAGGACAATGAATATGGATTGAATTTAGGCCATTTTAATATCAAGCAGTAAAACTTATTTCCCCTGTGCCTGTTTCATATCTGTTTGAATAACTGTTTACATATGGTTCGATAGTAGACAAAAAATAAAAGCCTCTTTAGTGCTTTTTCATATGTGGCATCATCACTTTGTTATTCTTCGGTTTTGATTATTTTTGTGATATATCCTATGGGTTTATTCTAGTCTTAGTTCTGACCTTTGTCCAAACATCAAGTATCCGTGAGGTCCATACTCGTAAGACCTACCCGCATTGTGAGAATTCCACATTTACCACTAAGTAATGTCCTTCATATCAGTCATCTGAGGACACTGTATTCTACACACATTTCTTTCACTGTACTCTGTCTTCCTAATCATAGTGCAAGATCCAAACAAGAAGGGACTTCACCTGTTTTTCTCACCTTTGTATTTTAACAAAGTATGTGAATAGATGTTCATTTGTACAAAAATTAATATATAAGAATGAAAAGTTAGGAAGTAAAAATATGACAAGGAGTATGAAACCAGGCTAAATAGAACAACACTGAAACAAGTGTAATAAACAGAATTAAAAGAATAAGAGATATAATAGCAATAATTTATGACATCAACATGGATTAATTACATTGACAATAATAGCCTAGAGATAAAATAATATGATGTATTATGTTCATAAATTGCTCTAGCATGTAACACATACTCAGTTATTGCTATTGAATGAATCAGGAATAGGTCTCATTACATTTGGATGTTTGACATATAGCAAGGTTGTGTTTCACTTTATTTGGAAAGATGGAATTATTAATAAAAACTGGCTTAAAGGTCTATCTTACAAAAATATGAAGTTTTCCTTCTTCAAACATCTTACAAAAAATCAGAGATTATGACCTCAGTGTAAGAGTAATAAACACAGTATGGGTGGACAGCTTGAAATCTATGTATGAAATTATGAGTGAGTTAACCATCTTAAAGAAGGCAAGGAGCTCAGAGGAAAGAAAATAGACATATATAGCTGAATTTTTTTTTTTTTAATTTGTGGCCCTAAATATGCTCCCAGAGCCAACTGAAATACAAGGATTTATAAAAATTATTTGAAAGTCTGTTTAGAAAAATGGGCATATAATATGGCTATATGATAATAGGTAAATCAAAATGGTGACCAAATATATAAAGTTTTGCTATAATTCAAGATATTATTTAGGAAAGCAACATGGAACCTCTCTCTCCTGTGGAAAAAAAAATCTGTTGAATTAGGGCTGAGAACTTTTGAACTAGTAGCCCAGGAGTATGCTCTGATTTTTCTGGCAGATACGTGAAGTGTTAACAACATTTTAGGGGAAAAATTGAAGACAGTAATAAATAGTCAAAATGCAGGTGTTGTTTAATTCTGGGTTCTTCAGTGTTGTCACAGTTGACATTCTGGACCACGTTATTTGTGGTGGGGTCTGTACTGTGCACTGCGGGTTGTTCACAGAAACCCTGACCTTTTTTGAGCCCTCAGTGTCTCACTGGAGAAGGCAATGGCACCCCACTCCAGTATTCTTGCCTGGAAAATCCCATGGATGGCAGAGCCTGGTAAGCTGCAGGCCATGGGGTCGCCAAGAGTCGGACACGACTGAGCGACTTCCCTTTCACTTTTCACTTTCATGCGTTGGAGAAGGAAATGGCAACCCACTCCAGTGTTCTTGCCTGGAGAATCCCAGGGATGGGGAAGCCTGGTGGGCTTCCGTCTATGGGGTCGCCCAGAGTCGGACACGACTAAAGCGACTCAGCAGCAGCAGCAGCAATGTGTCACAGCCATACAAGGCTCTGGACATTACTGTGGGGGACAAAGTCATCCATGGTTAGAGACAGAGTTTGTATTTCATTACCATAGTTTTTGTAGCAATGGAGAAAACATAACTGATTGCTAGATTTGACCACACAAAATTTGTATCAATTCATAATTCCCCTCATATGCATCTATACCTAATAAGAAAACTAAATGGTAATTAGTCAGTTGGTGAGAAAAAAAAAATCCCATCTTTAAGTTGGAAAGAAATGCCTTCATTTCATTTTATAGCTTTCCATAGCTAATACCCAATTTATTTACCCCAGTTAATAAGATATTTGGACCTGTTCTTTTACTGGAAGCACTTTATGCCTTTCATCCCTCTTCTAGTTGGACCTTCATTCCTGTCGTTTTGCTTGCCGATTTCAGTGTCTACACTTCTCTTTTTATTATTTATTTATTTTACTT